TGTATACTTTTTTAAATATTCAGGTTTATTCAAAAAATGTTTCCCATTCAAAAGAATGGGAGACTCTTCAATTCAGCTGTTCATCTTGTATTCAGCTTTATGATAGCTTTTACAATTTATCAGTGTTCCTTTTGCTGTTCTTCTGACTCTGTATTTAATGTGTGATCAAAGAAGACAAGGTTGTTTTCTCCAGGTTCAGTTTCCTAAGGTTGGGCATCAGAGTCAAGAAAAAAAAAGTCACTCAATCGTAAGTACAAAGACAAAGATTTAATGAAGCGGACTGAGGTGGATACTGAGGGGTCTGACAAGGGAACCCACAATAAAGTAAAAATAAATTAATTTACAGTTCATAGATCTACCTGAAAAAAAGATTTTTTTTGTTTTGTTTGTCTTTCAGCACTTAATAACTACAGCATACTTTCACTTACTTTCATTTGTCTAGTTCTATTTTTAAACCTTTTCATTTCAGTAAATGAGAAAATGACACCATAATGATAGACTGACAACCCAAATATGCAAAAGAATAAACAGTGAGATGATGTGCAGCAACATGCCTAAATACAGGCGTGAGTATCCTGATTCAAGGCTTCATTAAACTGTCTGGCTTTCATGTAAGAGGCAGGTGCTGTTGATGTCATCTGTTTAGGCTGTGGAACAGGAGTGTGTCCACACGGTTCAGTTAGTGTAATCATACTGAGGATGCGTAGAACAAATCACTTCCTTTAGTGTGTTGGGTTTACTTCTGCAGATGTAAATGTGTGTGCCTTTGTATTACTTACATTAAGGGGACTGACACGTACGGTCATGGTTAAGGTTAGGATATGTCTACAGGAAATGAATGTAAGTCAATGTAAAGTCCCCACAAGGAATGAAAACACAGTGTGTGTGTGTGTGTGTGAGGTGTTGTCTCCATGCATCATGAAGCATATCAGAAGGAACAAATCAGAACACGCAATTTTATGTAATTCTGGAAACATGTACCTGCTTGTGCACCCTGTTTTTGTGGGTGTGTCTGTGCATGTGTGTGTGAGATGTTAGTGCACTGTGATGTGTGTATTTTCCCTCAGGTGTCTTTTGTTCTTAAGGCTTTTCTTTCCATGACTGTGCTCTACTTTGAAGTCTGTCAAGTTACAGGGTAGAGTTTAGAGTTTGTAAATACATTTAAAAATCATGCATCACATGATCTATATATACTGTAATTATAATGTTTATTATTTACAAAAGACTTGGCTTTACACACACTATCCAACATTAAACAGTAATAAAAGACAGCAGCTGGCTAGTATTACTCTGTCCATCTGGATGTGCTCCAGATGAGTCCTTCAGTGTGTACCAGCACTTGGCCAAAACACTTTGATTTTGCCAGAAAATCTTTGCTTTTGACTCATTCTGTTACAAAAAACCAGAATTAGATAAACACATTGCAACTCTGTTAAAAGAGAACTGTAGTAATTTCCTTGTAGTTATATATTTTTTCATAATGTGAGCTCTGGGTGAGGAATGACCTGTCTTACATAATTTCTACTTTAAAAGGATCCATTTTCTTTTATATGCAAAAAAGCAAGAGTTTTTTTTTTTTACTTTAGAGTAACTAAATTAAAACTCTTAACAACACTTGAACTCAACCACTGAACTTCGACCCAGAGAGTTATTACTGAGTGCAAAGACAAATATGACCTGTACACAAACCAGACAGGGTTAACCATGAGCTCTATTCAAACCCCTTGGCATACACATTTATCCAAACAGGTTATCTTGTGCTCATGCAGTGTGAAAATGCAACTACTAGGATTAGAATACACACACATGACACATATATCATATGTAGCAGTGTCTGAGAGATGAGATAAATGGCTTAGATGAAGGGGGCTGAGTTGTTCTGGAAAACCTTGACTGACATGGCAGCTCTGGCGTAATCCTGCTAATCCTCTGCTAGCTCAGGGGTGCAGTGGGACTGGAGGCCTTTGACCTTGCACCTAGGTGAGGTGTAAGCACAGAAACTAAACCTTAGGTGACATTTTAGATGGTATAGTCCCACATCTTCTTCCTGACTTCCACTTGCAACTACACCACCATAACCCTCAATAGTAAATTATTAACTTTTACGCTGATAACATTTGTTTATGTAGAACTGCATGTTCACATAGTTTGGAATGATTACAAGACCAAATAAAAAGATTATGAGCACAATTAACTCTGACTGACTCAACCTTTAACCCCACAATACCAGGAAAAGTGTGAAGTTGTTGAAGAAACAGCTGACCGGTGACACATTTTCAATTGTGCCACTTGTTTCACTTGTTTATCTGCTGGTAATTGAAGGTTATAAAGTTACAATAAATCAGATGTTTTGATACAGTCCTCTTGACAGAAATACACATGTAAACAAGAAAATATAATGTAATTAAGAGCTAATTTCTGAAAAGTTGTTAACAGTTCCTTATGACAGTTTTTTTTTCATTATTTATGTGAATCAGTGATTCTGATTTTATGACCCTTGAGAACTGGTCAAAGTTGTTCAGCAAATTCAAGCAGTGTGCTCAATCTTTTGAAAGTATGGAGAGAGCTCTATCTGTTTATCTTAAAGGCAAAATATTTGATCTGAATTTCTACTAAATTTCAAAACATAAGACTGCTAGCTATCAAGCTCAGATTATATTTGACAGGTCTTTCAACACTATGTCTTTAACTGAGATGAAAATTAATGTCAAACAGCCTGGATAATGTAGAGAGACTGACTAAAAATGTGAGGTTTCAAACAGTTTGATCCATAATAGATGAAAATAAAAACCACTTTTGAAAAATGTTCATTTCCACGAGGAGTAATGCAATCCAGTACTCGACATTACAGGCCATAACTCTTTCCGGCTGGAGGGGTTCTAAGGATCCGCTGGCAGACATCTACCCTCCAGCTGCGTCAAAGTAGACATGGAAAGTCCAAAAAAAGCCTTTCACAATAAAAGTAAGGTTAGTGAGTACTTGACCGAACAGCACATACTGTATTTATGCAAAACATCACATGAAATCCTGTCTAGAAACATTGACAGAGACAAAACGATTAGGATTTCATGCAAAAGAACTTCAGCCATGATTTACTGAAACTGTAGTTTCATAAAAGCCTGCAGTATGTTCCATAAGTATCAATTTAATCTACCGTCTATTGAAATACTGCCACAGCATTGTAGTAACAGCATGGCATGTATTTATGAAAACACTATAAAAACAAACAAGGGGCTATATGCAAGTGATAGATCTATATTCATTTACCAGGCTTCAAATATCTCTAATTTCTTATTCTATTTCCCACACGCTTCAAAAAGAAGCTTACTTTGAAATGCCCTACCGGAAGTAACCTTTCATCTAATCAGTTTCTTGACGCTGTTGCGTGCAGAAAACCTGATGCTGCTGTATGAGCGTGCACACTGAGAGCAAGGGATGGGAGACGACGTCAGTCCACGACGCGTGCGGTGCTCACTTGGCAACATTTAGGTGTCCGTTTCCCCCCAGATCTTTGTTTCCATCAAGAATAAAATATCTACATTCTCCGAGCTGAGTTGAACAGGAGGTGAACACGCGCAGTAGACTATCAATCCAATATCAGTTTCCATATTAACAGTAATTTCTGTTTTGGAATATTGCGCACGGATTACCCAGGATATGAGGAATGGCAACGGAGTGAGGCACCTTTACCAAAATGCCTGTTAACTGGAATAGAACTTTTTCACCGCGTTCCTATGGAATATAGTCCGATTTTACACAATCTACATGTTGTGCCATCATCCCACGTGAAAAACAAACTATTCGTATTTTGCATCATGTTTTCCCTTTGGGTGTATATGATTTATTGCTGTGTTGGCTACTGCTCAACTATGTCAAACTTAACGCACGGCTCAATAAACAGACACGAAAACAATGTAGAAGTTGACAATCAGTATTCTTTAGGGGCGTCCAGGGACTTACTGAATAACGAAAACGATTTAGACAGCAGAGGAGAAGAGTGGGATGAAATTAGAGGCGAAGCGAAGGCGTTGGACGATAATGTCATGTCAAGTTTCCTCAACGTGTCAGAAAGTAAAAAGCTGCCCCAGGCGATCATCATAGGGGTGAAGAAAGGAGGGACCCGGGCGCTGCTGGAGTTTCTGCGCCTGCATCCAGACATCAGGGCGGTGGGCGCAGAGCCGCACTTCTTCGACCGCAACTACGCCAAGGGACTGGAGTGGTACAGGTAGCCTACTGTAGTCTGTCTACCGATCTGTTCAACGAGGAAAGAAAAAAGACGTTCAATCGACGCTGCCTATGCTTCATTTTCACAAATTACGTTTAAGTGCTCGGTGCCTTGCTCAAGGGCACCTGAGTAGTTAAAGATGATTTTTTTGAAAACATAACTTTTGGCTGTGGTTGATAATTGAATCTGAACTTTATCAGTTAATTCCACTTTTAACATATACTATAATATGCTATAAAATCGTATTTATTGTATATCATTTTGCAGTAGGAAAAGTACCAACAAGATCCTACATGATCCTGCTGGTAGATTTTCAAGCTTTTAGAAATAAAATGGTTCTGTCTGAACAGTAGATTAAGATTAATAATCATGGTATAGTGTTTGCTGTGAATGTGTGAATGTATGTGAATCTATGCAAATGAAGATGACTTCTCTTCCACTGTTAAGGCCTATATTATATCTGAGACAAACAATCTTCACAGTTTGTTGCTGGTTTTATTATTATTATCATTATTTCCAAGTTAAATATATTCTTCAAACTTGAGGTCACAACAACAACAACAACAAAAGTGAATTCACAGGAAACACATTATAGTTAGTGAATATTGTTTAGCCACACAATAAAATGCTGCTGATAAGTAATTGATGTATGCCCAGTATTTAAAGTAGGATCAAGTGATATAGAAAGATTTGTAAACTGCATGTGCAGTGAAACCTTAATGTCAGTACCACCACGGGTCATAGTACTCAAACAGAGCAGAGCACACTTTTCTGTAAAGACTAAACCTCTCCAAAGTCATGCTCATTTACAAAGCACAATTGATTTTCTGCTTGTTTGCAGAATCCTCAGAGTTCCTGGAATTTTTCTGTCTGTTGCTGGAGCTAGCGAGATGACACCAAGTAGAACAGATAAAGCAGAACTTCCATTTTGATTTGACCTGAATTCTGGATGCAGTTCAGAGAAACAGCATTTAGTTTATGGTTAGGAGTGCATGTTATCAAGTTATATCATGCCATCATCCTTAAAAGCTTTACATCAGAGCAACCACAGAAAATAGGCAAAATAAAATGTTCTGCACCAACAGCCTAAGGAGTAGTTGTATATAATTGACACATACCAGCTTCTTGTTCATAGGGGCAGCTGCATAACAAACACAGAGCCATTAGATGTGGGAAACTGTTTCATCCTGAGACATATTGTAAAGGTTTCTTTCCCAGAGACATGAGCTGGTTAATTAAAACAACTTGGCTTGAGTTGTCCCAGTGATTGACCCCGTACAACAGAGCACCATACCATCGAGATAAACCTTAATGATCGTTTAGTAGAGCTCCGAAAACTCTGGCTGACTTGATGGTGCAGCCCATTATTAGTGAACAAATATGTTTATCCACTAAATCTTGAGCCAACTTCATAACTGACACACCTTTATGAAGCATGTTAATGTTCATAATGTAGTACCCATCTATTGTTTGATCAAGAGCATGTCTTAGAAGAGATAAATGAAGAGCATAAATCCAGGCAAAGATGTCAATATGTCAGTTTGTTTGCCCCTGTGTTTCACTTTATCCCCCCCAAAGCCACACACACACACACATGGTCAGCAGTAGTTCGGAGAGCACAGCAATCTGCTGGGTGGGCTTATCAGCTCCTGCGGTGGCATTGAGTTGTGCCCACACCATTTATCGGCTGTGACTGGTGTGTCCGTCCTGCTGGAGGCCCACACAGGGAAGAGGCCCCTACTCAGCGAGACAGCAACCACAATACAGCATGTTTTTCACCCACAGACAGAAAAACAAAAGCAGGCCAAAAACTGTGCACGCTTACTCACAGAGTGTATGGGAGGCAACTGCCAAAAGGCGTGAGAACAGCTTCATATTTAGCCCTTCCTTTTTTTAAAATAACACTATAATTCTCTCTTCCTCCTATATATCTTTTTGTTACAGGCTAAATGTGCATCTACTGAGTGCAAGTTCAAATCAAGGTCTTCTGTGTTCTATACAGTTGATGTGACTTAATTGCTGAAATTGTATTTTTCTCTTGAGATTCCATATATAGAACAATAAGAGGCCTTCTTTCTAACTCACTGAGGGTGTCAGAGAAGACCCCCTAATCCTCCTCAGAGCCCCAGGGAAACTTACTGCAGGCCAGTGGCAGATAGAGGGCAGTAAATTTAAAGTGAGTCTTTGGAAAGGCAACAGTATTATGGAGCTCAACGAAAGGGGATGCTGAAGAACCCCCTGAGGTCTGCATTAACCCTAATAATAAAAGACCAGACAATTAGTGTGAAACATGTTTTCTCTGCCTTCACTTTGTATGCAAATGTGCTCAGAAGGGTGAAAGTGCCCTTTAAAGAGAGCCCAGCAGGAGTTCATCAGAACGAGCATTCATTGGAACCTGCCCAAGACAAGACTTAAACACCACAGCACACTTGTATTTTTAGCCCAGAAGTTGACTTTCAGAGAGCTCTGTGTAGAAAGTTGCGTTTCCCAAGAGTAGGTTCGTTTGAGTCCAGTGGTGGCTTGTGGATTACTCAACACTTCTAGTTCTCTGCAAGGACCCAGGGTGTAAGTGTAAGTGAGAGCGCTCTCAATATAGGTAGGCTATGTCCCATCTTGAAGTAATGTGTCAGCACGTTGACAGGAAAAGAAGGGAAAAGTGTGTTGAGAGAGATGTTATAAAAAATTGCCCATGCTAGCTGTTGTTTAACCTTCCTGTTATGTTCTGGGTCAAATTGACCCAGTGCAAAGTAACAAAAAAAATCTAAAAAAAATAGTTAAAAATATTTTATTGGTATGAAACTTCGTCTGCTTGGCGTAATAGGTGTGATCAACATATAAAATGAAAATGGTTCAATTCACATATTTGCAACATCCCCCTGCATGTTTATATTACAAAGATACTGTTCAGGTCAACATAACAGGAGGGTTAAAACATTCTTAAAATATTTCCGTAAACCAATTAACCACGCACTAAAGAAAAACTCTACAATTCTTGAAAGAAATCCACTAAAATTTCAGTACTGGTAATGTGCACAACCCCTCCCTATTCTGGAGACTGAAGATTTAATTTGCTACACAACCTCCTGGGTTTTTCCTTGAGGCAGTTTGTCAAACCACAGCATTTATTACAGCACTTAGGAAACATTGAAACAAAAGAAGTTCACTCCATTATATCCCCTTGAGTTGTTGGCTGCATAGTCTTTCTCTTTTATAGTATCTTCAGAGAGAATGTCTTGTTTCCTGCTTCTGTTGTTCTCAAAGAAGAGCAAACATAAAGCACCAATCTGCCTCAGCCATCTCTCTTCTCGGGAGAGTGGTTTGGTCTCAGACTAGCATGTGTCTGTGGGAAATTATCTACTTGTACCAGCCACTACATAAGCTGGAAGCATCCATTACATCCAAACAATGTGTTTGCTTATCCTATTAAAAAATCATAATTGTGTATATTTTGGCAAGATAAACAATGAAGTGACAGTGTTTTGAACTCACTCAAAATTGGCTGAACATGCTTTTTTAAGTAAAAACATTCTGGCGGATAAACACAATGTTGCGTTTAGGCAATGTGTCAGAGTTGTTTTTCCTTGTGCTAATATATTAGCATGACATTGTTGCTTGTTTTAGTAACACAATAGAGCCAAAAATGTAATAAAAATAAGATTAAGAAGTGAGAAAGAGAAACAAAGCAGTGTGTTCCAGTGAAACTGAAACTGACCGATTTATTGTATGTTGGATCATATTGTTGGATCCTTTTATTAAGGTGTGTGTTAAAGCTAAGCGCTATAATTCATAAATCCTGCTATTGATTTTACAGACTTTGATGGCTGTTTAAGATGACTTTTAGTGGGAGTGTGATCAACATTCAAAGTGAGTGGTTTATAGTATTTTTCAAGCACCACCACCCTAAAAAAAAGTGCTCTCTGGTTCTATAAACAACCAAATGTCAGAACTGCTATGTGTTAATGCAAGGCTGACAGTTGTGTGATGGAAGCCAGAACGGTTCACACACTGTTCCTCCTGCTTATCGTCCTCCTCCTGTCTTCAGACTGGGCCTGTCTCCATCAGACAGCCAAGTGGCCTTGAGTTCTGCATACCGACAGTAATAATGAGGGATGGGGAAAAGCCACTCTCTGCACTGTCATTTTTGTTCACGAATGCTGTTGAGATACTGAATGCTACAGTATGAGAAAGTCCTGAATGTAAGATGTGATTGCGATGTCTTTCACACAGGCTAAGATGGGCTTCAGTGGCCAAAGAAAATTTGGTTTCCTATTTGATTTCTGTCTGGAACTCATCTCCCAGTAAAATGTTTTGATTATTCTAAGTGGCCACACACCATCACCTCTCATCTTGACTTTGAAAAGAGCAACAGTTCTCAAAGTAGCATAACGCCTTTCAGAGCTGCAGTGTAAGACTCATCATGTCATTAGAAAATGCCATATAGATGCCAATTAGTCAGTCAGAATAACACAGAGAAAAAGAAAGAAAGCACTAGTTGTTCTGTACTTTGGTGACCTCATTACTGAGGGCATCATCTAGCAGCTGAACACAAAGATGTAATCACTACCTTATGTAAATAAAGCACCAGCTTTCAAATGTCTCCCCAGCAGACATTTTAATGGGCACACCTGACTGCCTGGCCGACAAAACAAACTACACAACACACCGCTGCTGGATTAATATCAGTCTGTAGGTTGTAGTAGCATGTATAATTTATCTAATTCATCTTTGTTTGCTACTGCTGCAGGGAAATGCAGACACATCATCTGATGTGGCAGTTGAATTAATACTAGGGTCAGTGGGAATCTACTTATATAGACTGTATTCTCCAACAGTGACACTGATTCCACCTGATTTTCTCTTCATTCCTTCCTCTCTTGCTTCATCTCATTCTCTTAACTGTCTCCTGCCATTGTCGTCCTAGCCCTGCTGATCTTCTACAAGTTTAACAAGACAGGTTAGAGACAGATGATGTTTATGTCTAAGCATAAGCATAAGCATCAGTATATATTTATTTTAATGCACCAATTACAGGTGGAAGCTCTTCAAAGCCTAGACTTGCTTTGAATTTGAAAATACATTTAGTGCACATTCAAATGTTAAAATTTCAGATTAAGGCAGTGTCTTTAGATTTATGAAGTCAAAAAGAAACATGAAAAAAGCAGCATGCTGTGGCTCAGTTCTGGAGAGTGGGCCATTGTTTTTTATTGTCTGGAAGCTGAATGATGACGCCTTTGCATGGTTGATTGATACATGAGGATGCACTGAAACCTTTTGGTTGCAGGCGACATTGTTTATTAAGCAGAACAAATTGTGAAAGCTTGCTCCATCTGCCCCCAAGGGGACTCTCTCACTCCCATGCTCTGTGTGCTAAAATGAATAATGTATGCACTTCTCACACAGATTGTTTTGCTAGGGGACTAAGTGGAAAGTTTGATTGGTAGTAAGTTTTTGTGTCCCTTGAGGCCCCAGGAAAGGCCTACAGTGCTGCATTTGTTTGTATCCATGAGAAGCAGAAGATAATTACAGTGAGTTCTGAGTTGTTTGTGTCCCTCGCACCTATTACCTTGATTAGATTTAGGTTTCCACCACATGCAGCGGTTGTTAGGACTCTGAGAGAAAGAAAAGTGAAGTGCATGTGTAAGACTTTGGGCCTCCATAGAAAGGAAGGAAAGAACAGGTGACATTAGGTGCTGAAATAAGACAAGAAACAGAAACTGATACCAAAATCACCAAAGCTTTGTCTGAGTATTCAAAATCTTGTGGACCATTCTACAGTTGCTTCCACCACATACATTTATATGAAAAAAGCTGCAGGGTTTAGAGAGAAATATCTCCTTGTGCATGTACCAACAAATGGTTGAAAATTATGGTAATCGCTTTAATGGCATGGCTACTGTGCTTTCCTGTTCGATTTATATCAGCAGCTCACTGTCAAAACATGGGGATGTTACCAAATACTGTAAAGATTAATGAGTGATGTATGTAGGGAGCTGATGCTTGTAAACACATAAAATTATATTATGGCTTGAGGTTTCTTACTGTGCTGAGGGACTGCAGGGACTAAAATGGTACTTTTAATATAGTTAATACATCTCATGAATGCAAAAGCAGAGAATCTTCTTTTCTGCCATGAGATGGTTTTTGCTGCCTGCACTATGACATTGAGCTCCCTTCCAAAGCCCTGCACTGGAAATTCTGAATGTGCAAGTTGTTTTACATATGTAACAATAAAATGCACTCTGATTTAAAACCTAAAACATAAGATATAGAGTTGAATGACATAGTGTCAACATAAAATATAATATAATGTTATATTATACATTGAGTTGTGGTTAACCATACTGGAATGTGTGTTGCTGTGGCCATCCCTTATAGAAGCAACTGCTTATATTTGGTTTTTCTCATGGATTAACTAGACTTTCGATGTCATGGCCCTCTCCCTCACTCTCCAGAGATAAGACAGACACCCAGTCAGACAACCTCCAATGCTCTAGGGTCTTTGGTTTAGTCATAATCCCCCTTAGCTAAATGTAGCCATTATTCAGTGAGAACTGCAGTTAACAGGCTACGTAATGATCAACCAGAGCTACATTATGTAGGTTTAAGAAGAATATGGACTTATGAGAATAAACAGCTTCCAAGTTTTGCATTTTTTCCTTAGGGATGTAAAGCATCTCCAAATCTACGCATTTTACACAAAATTACTAACAAATATAAGGAGAATGGTGCAGTCACAGTCATCTATCTTGGTATGGCATTAAGAAGCCTAATAGTACCTATTCAGAGTTAAGCTCACTTTTGTATAGTGTAATGAAGGGGTTTGAAAGAGGATTGAGGTCTTAAGATAGATTAAATGCAGCCGCAGGAGCTGAATGTTTTCCTTTAGTGTTTGTATTTAGAACATGTCATGATCTGTGCAGTCTTCACACACATTCACACATGACTGATAGGAGACCTGTTTTGTCCACCAGTCTCTGCCGTAATCCCGTTAATGTTGCTCACGATGCCTAAAATGGTCTTCTTGATTATGATTGACTTGTTCCTACCTGACAGTATTTTTAAACCTGCCATGATCAGACTGTGGCAGTGTCAATCTATTCTTCCTTTATGGGAAGTTTTGTAATTTGCTGGCTTTAAATGTTGTTGACTTAACAAAGAAGACTAGAATACACAGGTGTACAGAGCTAGTTTTTGTGCCATACAGTGCATCCAGTGAAAATGTAAATTGCTGGCTTTGTGTTTTGCAGGGAATTGATGCCCAAGTCATCAGAAGGCCAGCTGACCATGGAGAAGACCCCCAGCTACTATGTCACCAAGGAGGTTCCTGCTCGGATCTACACCATGTCTAAAGACACAAAGCTGATTGTAGTTGTCAGGGATCCTGTCACACGAGCCATCTCCGACTACACCCAGACCCGCTCCAAGAAGCCAGACATCCCCTCTTTTGAGAGCTTGACCTTTAAGAACATGTCAGCAGGTCTGATTGACACCACATGGAGTGCTGTTCAAATCGGCTTGTATGCCAAGCACCTTGAGCGCTGGCTCCAGTACTTCCCTATAGAGCAGTTGCTGTTTGTTAGTGGAGAGCGTCTCATTAGCGATCCTGCAGGTGAGATGGCACATGTCCAGGACTTTCTTGGGCTCCGACGGGTGGTCACAGAGAAGCATTTCCACTTTAACCCAACAAAGGGCTTCCCCTGCCTAAAGAGACCCGAGAAGAACAGCAAGCCACACTGCCTGGGCAAAACCAAAGGCAGGGCCCATCCTAGTATAGACCCAGAGGTGGTCCAGATGCTAAGGGACTTTTATAAACCCTTTAATAGCAAGTTTTACCAGATGACTGGTCATGACTTTGGATGGGACTGAGAAGAAAACTATGACATGCTGGTTCCTTGTGTGTGAGTTTTATAATTTTATCATTCTGGGAATATTGTTATACGTTGTATATACTGTATAGTATTTGGTGGATGTGTAAAATGTTCAGAAGTCTATTTTATGATAATTTATTGTTATGATATTAGTTTACTAAGCTGCCCAACCAGGTTTATTCCACACTTTTTTGGTTCAGTTTTAGTTCCACTGCAAACATAAAACCACACTGACTTCTAAAAAGCACAATGTTTTACGGGTATTACAAGCAGGGTCACTATCCTTTATTTTTTATTTATTTATTTTGTTTACCAGAAAAATGTGGGAAAACCACTTTTGCTTTTCTAGATTTACTTCATCTTAAGATGAAAGACACCCTACTTCACAAACAACTGGTAATATCCTCTTAATATTTGCTTGACCCTTAGAGGTCAGTGGACCCACTTAGTCAGGTCAAGACAGGCCTCAGCTGATCCAGTGCCACTTGCCAGGTGGATCAATACAGTAATAGGTCCTCATCATGTCAGTTAGACCGGAGTGATGATGCTGCCTTCATCTCTGAAGTACTGCAATAAAACATAGGTCCATTAATGGCAGGAGGTTTATGGTTGACCCTTCAAGTAAATATAATGATGTAAATTTCCACTGCAATGTTCTGACTTAGCCACTATTTATACTGCCTATATAAAGGGATGTTGATTAGGATCCATTAGAGGCTCGGGACATCAGACGTTTGGAAAATGTTTATCCTTTTTCCAAAAATCTTCTGCATAGGCTTCACAATGCCTAGAATGCTCTTTCCCAACAGAAAATGATTCATATGAGTCTCAGTCGCAGAGCTATACTGAAATGGCACATACGCATCAAGCACTGTTTTTACCACAGGTGATACTAGATGTGTTAATGATCTGCTTACCCATGATGCATCAGCTGACAGAATTATAGTCACGGGGAAATAAACATTTCTTTAAATAATTGTGTTCTACTTCCAGTGCTAACTTGAGAGAATTAAAACTATCCTACCTTCCCCTAAGATTGCTCATTTAAACTTCATGTATGGTTGAGTTTTATTCAGCCTTTATAAACATATCTGTCAGCATTTTAACAGACATCATTCTATAATGACATATTGTGACCTGTTGTTATAGAGGCAATATTTTTCTTTACAAACATGTTTTCAGGTTTGACACCGACATTGATTAAAAGGTGAGGTCATGTTATTTTTATGAAATAAGAAATAAATATGTTTTATGAAAATTATATAACACAATCTCTGTCATTTTTTAAAATGTATTTATGATTTTAAAAAATGGTCAGATTTACTGTTGTACTTGTGTTACTCTTTAATGCACTGCCCCCACCCTGGGTCTCTCCAGGGAAAGGTGCTGTGTGTAATTCACTATCTTGCACATTATTGCGCTAACCAGCTAATTAAAGCAGCACTGTTAACTACTTTTAGCTGTCTCAGCCTCCCTCTGCCACAAGCAAGAGGATGTTGTTGCCATGACTCCGACAAACACATAACAAAGTGTCAGGTTTCTCATCTGAAAGAGACTTGGTATTTTATGAAAAGCACAGGGATTCCTTTATCTCCCTTGTTGACACTTAACACTTTCCACAATATGAAGTGAGGTCAGGTTCCAAGCCATTGTTTAAATGTGTTTTTGTGGGTGTAAACATGATGTAATTTTTCTTGCTTCTGTGTTTGATTCATGGAACCTGAAGCAGAAGTAATTTTTGTAGAGATAATTATGCTGCTGACGATACAATATTCAGTGGTAAAGTTATAGTCTGTTCTACATATTTGCTTTCATTCCAGAAACCTTTATTATTCTACCAATGTGTTTACATTTAATGGACACATCACATCCATCATGCAGCACAGCGAAGTGTGGTGCAGAGGTTATGGTTCAAGTAAGATACGAATCATCCCTCTCAATTAATGAACAACCTTTATTTAACTCTCTATCAAAACACCCTCATTTACCTGCGGCTGCCAGAGGTGATGAAGCCAATCTCCCTGGTGGTGAGCTAGTCCGATCACTCAGAAAGCAGCTCCCTTCACAATTACAGGGATAGAGCAGGGGTGCTGTAATTGCTAGGCTTCCAGCTGGGGAATTGCTGTTAGCACACATCCCTCCAGGCTGTTGTAAGGGAGGCTGCTGTTGTTTGAAGGTTGGAAAGACAAGGAAAAATAGACAACCGACAGCCCTGAGCATCAAGCGACTTCGCACATCCATTTGGCAGCTACCACTGGGGAACACGATCAAAGCTGCTGAATAAAAGTGAAAGAAAATAAAACATCACAAAACAACAGACTGTTTAGTTTAGAGAACAGATGCACAGAAATTTGGAGTTTGGGTGCAGGAAGCGGGATAAATTGGAGCCTCATTACAATGTCAATGAAAAGTTTTCATATTCTGTCATGATGTCAGTTGGGCAAGAACTGATTTATATAGGTTTGGTCTGCAGAAATGATTGCGAGTCATTCATCGACTCTACATTTGACTAGACTGTGGACTACGTCACTGATATGAAGTCAGTGATTCTCCAAAATCACCTTGTGACTTAACAATTTAGCCATTAGGCGACATTAACAATAGATAGAGAGGTGAGGAGGAGTTTACATGAGGTGCCAGGCTGACCCTAAGATAAAAATATCTCAGGTATATTGTGCATGTCTCATTAGAGGTATATTAATGTAAAAAACCTTCCAGGATAGCCAACAAAATGAGAAATCTAAGGGTCTGGTAGTATTGCATCTACTAGTCCTAAAATACGTTTTGCACTAGAATAGACACTGATGAGACCCTCAGTGACTGAAAGATGATATTTGTTGAGTTGTAGAGAATGTGATATTGGTCATGTTAGTTTGCACCTTGAGGAGATTAAATAAGGATAATCACCTTTATTGGCCAAGTATGTTACACACAAGGAATTTGTTTCCAGTACAGAACCGAGGCAGCCATCTGCGGCACCAACTATCGGGGGCACTCAGTGTCTTGTACAAGGACACTTCAACATGTGGACTGCAGGCACCGAGATTTGAACCTCCAACCTTGCAGTTGGGAGACGGCTGCTCTACCCACTGCACTGTTGCCCACGATTATAAGATTAAATGATCTTCTGTTAGTTTTATTAGTTCAACCTTACTGACCTGTTTACTCCCAAATGAAATGAATGAGCTCCTATACAAGACTGGGCAACACATGAAACCAAACAGGATGCTAGAGCACAGCAAATGTTTACTATTGTCAGTTTATTTGAGTCATGGACAGGATGTGCAATTCAGATACAACTGAACCTCTCTTAAATACTTGTGGTATTCATTTCCAAACATTGTGAAAACAAATACAAACTCTATATTTGAAAAAAAAAGAACAGGGAGATGATTATTTTTAGATAGACTTTTAGAAGCTAATATGACATTTACCTTCATCTCTGGCCCTTTTATTCTGCATTGTCCAAACCCAAATCCTAATCTGGTAGGAAGGGCAAGCATTAATCTGAGCCACTAGACTTGGAGTTGATATGTATGTGCTGACAAAGCTAATCTAAACCTAATCCTTCTTCCAAATGAGCTTCTTAGCACGCCCTCACTTTAGGCTTGCCAGGTCAAATCAGAGTGCTGAATTCACTGCTGTTTGTTATGATATGTACATCAGCACCTTGAGCTAGTGCATGGTCTAAATGTTCTATTGCATCTTAAAACACCTTGTCTTAACACACAGCATCACTAAACACTTAGCAACATGATGTGGCAGCTGAGATATTCAGATGTGTCTATAACAAGAAATATATTCAACCAAATGTTTTATTTTCTGCTGTGAATGGTATGGTTTCTGGGCTCTGTATATAAAAAGAAAAGTGCAAAACTGATATTCTACACCTGTGAATGATAATAAGCAAAGAAAAAGGAACAATACCCATTAAAACCATCATCTACAGTCAAGACTGCTCCATTATACAACTTTGTGGATGCATTAGTACTGGAAAATAAAGGCTACAACACAATGAAACATATTCACATGCCATCTAATTTGCATAAGATGGATTTCCACTTTTACATTTACCCTGCTTTAGTTGTCAAAACCTTTAACATTACAGCTGTGAATGTAATCAACTCTCTCTAAAATGTTTTCGTGCTGCTTGTGTTAACAATGATCTGTGACTTATTTTTAGTTCATCGTTGACCATAACAGATGTGTAAAAAGTCCTCAGACCTCTATTTAATCACATTGTTATTTAGCAGTTGCTTTGGCTTTAATTAGCCTTCATTAGCATAGCTGTACTTCATCTGTTTGTCAGTGTTTCAAACTGTTATAATGACACTTGAAATGTTGTCATCTTGTCCCTCAAAGAATTTTGTTTACTCCCAGTTCATCTGCAGTTCCAGTGTCCAGATATTTTCTTATACACTTTATTCTGATCATTTTTTAAAACTTTGATTAAAAAAACTTATCCGTACTTATTGTTCAGAGGCTGAACAGTGATGTTGTGAAGACTGGAAGTTGCATCACCACCAGCCAAATCCATGTCTTGTAACCAGAGATTCCCTGAAGGACAGGGATGATGGGAGAAGTGCGCTCTAACCAATACAGGCAGTTCTGTCATTAATGTTCTTTTTGTGGTCTCCCAACACTATTTGTTGCAGTCGCCCGCCTGCCTGGTACCACTTTGGGCCATTAGGCCAGACCAACCCTCTTCAAATCCCAGTGGCATGCTGTTGTAATGACTTTATCACTCTACCTCACCGTAGCCACTCGCCGAGTCCTTGATTGCAGAATAATTTTTAAACCGTGGCACAAAACTCAATATCTGAGCAACTCTGTACTGTCAAAGCACATTAAAAAGCTTAGTTTGTTTTGCTTATCTTATTCAACACTGTTTTAAAGAATGTTATACATACTCTTATATTCTTTAAATTACATCATTCACATGGGACCAGTCAGAGAAAAACAGCCTTAGTTGCTCAGGCACTGCCACCTGTGACCCCACTGAGCTCAGACAGCTCAGCCGTTCCAGTCTTATCATGCTTTCTCTGTAATGAAGTGTGCATAGCCTCCTACTCTCTGTGGACCAATGTCACCTTGATAAGCCAAGATTTGGACCTTAAGGGTTTTGTGGGACCTTCAGTGGGATTATTGACTGGACTGTCTGTTACATGGTCTGTCGTCTGTCTGTAACCTCCAGAAAGACCAAGCAGGAGGAGCCTTTCCCTTTAGCTCATGCTAATCTGGGGTAGAAGGAATTGTACTGTCTGATCTGGCCTCAGGTCCATAACATTTATTTATTATACAGTGTGCATGTCACAGATAAGAGTATTTATAAAAGAGTGCTTTTAAAATTATCACAGGTCCTTCTGGCTACAACAAAGTGAGCCCATGCGGTAAAATATTTTTTATCATTCATATGTTCATTATGACTGTGGACAAGAATAAAAAGTGTGGGCACTGGGAGTTCCTGTTTCAAGTAGTCTTCTCGTTGGCTTCTAACAGAGATCTTACAATACAAATTAACTAAGGATGTTAATATGTGTGCCTTGAGCACCGTAGGAACACTCCACACAGAGATAATTTCAAGGCTTTTGGGGAATTAATCTGAATTTGCAATTAACTGGCTCGTTAAACTTCTGCTCTTGGGATTAAATGTAAATTAAAGCAATGTCAGAATGGAGCAGGGAATTTCCCAGGACAGCCTCTCGACCAGTCAGTGTTTAGCATACAAACACATGACTGTGTATTTTTGAGCTTTGGTTCTTATTTACAACAGGCCTCAACTTTTTGCTTAATGTCACATAGGATATAACATCTAGTACTGTATATATATCAAATAAACAGCTCTGTTGTCCTCAGCTGTAACACAGCACCTTGATCAACTGATGTAGCAAAGCAGTGTATCATCACCCAGTAATGCATTACTGCTCTCCAGGTAGGGTCCTTTTATAATTTAGCACTGTAGAGATTCTTGCAGTTGATGAGGCAAAGGACATTATACCTGCTGCCACGATGAACTTTCAGAATTCTAAAATCTTGCCTAAAAGCCTCGTCGACCATTGTTGTATTGTACATGTCGGTAAGGACTTTGTTCCCTTTATCATGTAATCTTCCAGTTTTTTCAGTCAATATGGAGACGGGGGGAAAAGGGAGAAAATTATATTCATTAAATTTGTCCATTTTTGGTGGGTGGGTGGGTGTTGGGGGGGTG